AAAAACAAAAGTAAAAAATAAAAAGGAAATAAAGCTACAAAAAAAAGAAAACATAATTGTTCCGAATAAACATGAGAAATCAATAGAAAAGGAACCCCCTGAAAACTAACAAACAAACATGTGTTTAGATGGTTAAAGGGACAGTGGTATCCCCAGCCTACCAGGGTTCAAGTCCTGGTGCTCGCATTATTTCTGGATTTATTTCAGTATTTCTGGCGATGCGCTTTCAATGGGAGGAGACGTTCCCGTCGACGACGAGGCGCCTACGGTAACTTCGTAAATCTCAAGATGATATGTCGACTCAGTCTTCAAAGGTGCTCATAGGGATAGAATGTGCGTATGTGCGTTCATAGGGGTGAGTATATGCGCGTATGTATGAGCGCTTGTGTCTGTACTGATGTTTAAAAAAAACAGAACAAAACCGCAGGTACTGGGCCATGACCCATGTTTCCTGCACGAGAGGCGAAAATCCCGGAATATGTGACGCTCTTGGGCAAGCCTCGTGCATCGTTTTCCATTCCAAAGTTCTCCCTGGTTTTAGTGGGGGATTTTATTCTTTTGATTTTTCGCACGCCATGCCATGTCCGACTTTCATGTCTTACATCCTTTTTGATTTTTTTAAATCTTGAACATAGAAAAATTCTATGAGCCTTTAAATTCATAAAAATGTTTTAAAATTCATGACCAGTATCTTAATTTTGCAAACATTTTTAGAATTCTGATAACATTTTTCAAATGCCGTTCGCATTTAAAAAAATCATGTAGGTGATTCTCTATTTACATATTTTTGTCTTCATTTTATACTATTTTAAACTTTCATATTTTTAATGTATAAAAAATATTAAAAAAAACTTGCAAATCTGCAATTATTTCGGCCCATTGCCTCCTGTGGTGCATGCCCGTGACTAAATGGGCTAGAGCCCGCAGGGAGTACACACGCGTGTTACCTCATTTGTTCCCCATTTTGTGTGAGGAATAGTAGGTCTAGGGCTAGTTCTTCTAGCTAATTCCCCTAAAATTGGATCCCTCCCCAGCTGCTCCTAGAATCATCAACCCCCATTTATTTGACAATCCTAACTAGTTAGAGTCAAATTAGCTATGATTGTCAGATGAATGAGGGTTGAAGATTCTTGGAGAAGACGGGAGGAGTCTGATTCTTGGAGAATCTGCCAAAAGAACTGATCCCTAATCTCATACTTTGCGGTGTATAGCCTTTGCAGGGACGACGAATGTAGATTGGTCACATTTTAACCTTCAGAGTCGAGTCGTATCAGCCTTATATGTGTGGGCTCTCGGTCGAACTCACATGTTGTGGGTTCCGAATATGTCATGCGATGTGCTGTACTCAAGCCATTCGGCTACTATGTGTGATATGGGCCAGTGAGGACAAAAACAATCAGAAAATCATTTGCAAGCAAATCTTATTTGTTGCTCATTGCGACAAAAATGGACAACATTTCACACCGAGTTGTCCATCGACTAGGCCTACTAGTGTTTTTTTGCTCTCAATTGTTTTTGTTTAGTTATTTTAGGTTTTGATGAGTTCTTTTCATCTTTTATTCCTCCAGTTTTCCTTTATAGTTTATAGTTTATATTTTCCCCCTTTCTTATTTGATTTATATTTTCTTATTTTGTAAATATATTCTATGTATTTTATAAATATTCATCATGTATTGAAATTATTCTTATATTTGAAAAATGTTCTTAAATAAAAAAATCATAAATTTAAACAATGTTCAGGAATGTAAAGAACTTCAAGAATAAAAAAAATTACATGAATTTAGAAGGGTATTCTTGAAGTTTAAAAAGTTCAGATTGTTTAAAAAAATCATCTTTCATTTTTATAAATATTTATGCATACGAAAATTGAAACAATGGGAAAAAAGAAAAGGTAAAAGGAATAAAAATTAAAAAATCTAAAGAAAAACCAAGAGAATAAAAGAACGCGGACAAAGATCAATGGGACCCAAGCAAAATTTGACAAAAGAAGTAATAAACAAATATATAAATGAACAGTATTGCACCGTGTATGTGACCGACCCAAATAACAAGTCTTCGTACGTTACCCACGCTATATAACACATTTGCTTGGCCACAATACTATTTAAACTAGATGATACCTCACACATTATTAAGGGAGTGTTTTACGATATACTTGAATGAAATTTGGTTGTATGGGATATGAATATATTAAAGTAATAATATGAGAAGTAAAATTAAAATACATATGATGTATTGCGTTTGATTATTATTGCATAGTTATAAAATATCTAATTAAATAAAAATAGCATAATAGAATGGAAATTCTTAGGCATGTTTGCAAGTTAAGGTGGGCTATTGCATAATCGTATGTTGAGATGTGCCTTTTCTCTGTCATGTTACATGCTAAGGTGGCATACTTGCATGTTGCAAAAAATAAACAATTGGGAGCTAGCTATTTAGACATAGACGATTTGAAATGCCAATTGTAACGTTCATATGGAGTTTGTTTACAGAAAATAACCCCGAGAAAGAAATTGTGTTACAGGCCTCGAAAAGGACTTGATCATTTGAGTTCATCCTCTTTGTTGCAAGTGGTGTTCTAGTGGGCTTAAGATCCTCCGCAGTACTGCACACAGTGCTATAGTGCGGATAACATATGGGGCTGGGTCCACACGACAACGACCGTACTGCACGGTGTGCTACAGCAGAGGATCCTAACTTGCTCTAGTGTAGCCATATTGTGCATTGACCCGCTATGTCAGGGAAGACCGTTACCTTCACAAATACAATACTACCTTGAAGTATTCAACTGGTTGACTGTAGCACAATCATTCTAGAATAGTAGTGTAGTATACGCAAAAGCAGTGGCCGAGCTAGCACAAAAATATTGGGTGGGCCGGATATACGAAGACTGCTACCAAATTAAATACCAATATATTATTGTGGGATAAACTTCATGTATTGCTCCAGCCTTAGACGGGCAATTGCCTTTTGAGCCTTGCCATAGCTCTGACGATGCGCAAAAGTATAAATAGAGATCTGGGATACACAAAATACAGTCTCAAATCATGTCATACAATTCTGCCATCTTATTCTGTTTCTGGATAAGACACAACCTTTACACGGCAACATACACAGTATTCCCACGTCGGCATGTTAATCTGGATATAAAGATTTTGATTATTATATGGTTATTATGGAATATTTATTGAATATGAGTAGCATGCATGGTGCATATTAAGGTGTGTCTTTTCCCTTGCATAATGGCATGTTGAAAGAATTAAATTTAATAGAGTATGCATGATGGTGGTTGAATTGGGGTAGTTGCATATTAGATAATTGATGAGTTAGTAGGGATCAACTATCTAGATATACTAGACGCTGCCCTTGTGTTATTGTGGAATTGGACATATGGTCTTTAAACATTGTGTAGAATACTAATGGTCCTTATGGTTTAAACTATGTTGGAAATTTCCACACAAGCAAAAACTCTTAACATGAAAATTTATGCATGCCTTAATTTAAATGCAATGTGATTTAAATTCACTTAGAATGCACTAATGCATTTTGCATGGTAGAGAAATTCCGTTTGTAGGGCGAATGCAAGTAGATCAAACTAGTAAATCTAATGGCTCAAGAATTTTAATGATGTGAAAGCACGTATATTGAGATAATTAGAGGTATTGGAAATCATTCTCCTAGGTATATATAGGATATATGATATATAGGATTCGAAATGCCAATTGCAAAGTTCATATGGAGTTTGTTTGCAAAAAATAATCCCAAGAAAGAAATTGAGCTCCATTCCTCCAAAAGGACTTGAGCACTTGAGTTCATCTTCTTTGTTGTCTCTTGATGGTTCTGAAACGGCAACTGGTGTTCTTCTGCAGCCATATTGTTCATTGACCCGCTATGTCCGGGCAAACAGTAGCACATCATTGAAGTATTCAACCAGTTGACTGTAGCACAATCATTCTGGAATAGTAAGCATAACAGAGAGATCTCGGATACCAAATACAATTTCAAAACATGTCATACGTACAATCGGCATACTACACGCAGTATACGTACAATTGTGTTTCTGGATAAGATACAATTTAACACGGCGACATACTACACGCAGTATTCGCACGTCGGCATGTTGATCGACGTGCTCCTGACGGACGCAGTTAACAACATCAGCTCACACGCTGGACTTGACCTTATCGCTGAACCCCGTCTGCCCATCGAAGAACCTCGACCACAGCATGATCCCGCCGTACTTCGGCGACTTCTGCACCACCGGCAGCACCTCGGACACCAGGTCGCTCGGCTCCACGAACCCGCTGCCGGCGGCCGCGGGCGCCGCCGGGAGCCCCAGGAACACCTGGCGCGCCGGTATCGACGCCCACTTCTGCCACGCGCTCGCCAGGTTGCCCGCCCCGCCGGCCTTGGTGTACTGGCACGGCGGGTTGTTGTAGAACTGCACCCACACGTAGTCGAAGAGCCCCGTGCCGAGCGCGCCGCCGAGCCCGCCGAGCATCGCGTCCGGGAACGGGCACTGCGGCGCCGCCGCCAGGTACACCGGCTTGTAGGCGCTCCCCTTCCCGGAGTACTTCTTGAGCTCCCGCGCCAGGTCGTCCCAGTGCGCGCTCCCGCCGCTCTCGATGTCGAAGTCGACGCCGTCCAGCACCGCGTCGCCGAGGGGCCTCGTCGTCGACGTGCCGCCGAGGTAGTTGTCCCAGAGGTACTCGGCGACCTGCTTGGCGTCGGCGGCGGACGAGAGGCCGTAGCTGCCGACGCCACCGCCGATGGAGAGCAGAACCTTGATGCCGCGGCTCTGGCAGGCCTTGACGTCGGCGCCCACGAAGGTGCACGAGCCGCTGGTCGCCGGGTCGCAGTGCCCGGCCAGGTTCAGCAGCGGCTTCTGGCCCCTCCCGAAGGTGAAGAGGAAGGCCACGTTGACGAACTTGTAGTTCCCCGTCGCGCACGCCTGCGCCAGCGTGCCCTCGTTGCCGTTCTGGCCCCAGTAGATCGCGATGCCGCCCGCGCGCGCCCCGGCGGCCAGTCCGGCCATTGTCACCGCAATGAGCAACAGCATTGCCGGAAACACTTTGCTCGCCATCTTTGTTTTGTTGGAAGCTGGAAACTTGGAATGGAGCTACTATGCTGGAGAAGGTTCTTGGTACGTGTATATATAGCCAGTAGAACCCGGCGAGGTGTGCGGAGGCAGCGGCGCCGTGGCTTCGTTGATTCGTTCCACGGCTCACCATTTGTTAGGTCTGCTCAACGCCGTCGCAAGTTGACCGGGCATGCACCTCTGGATGAAGATAGCTCTAGGAGAATGAGTGGCGCGGGCATCCGGGGCTTAATTATCGTCGCAATCAGGGCCGTTGGCGGTACGAGTAGTATGATATTCGCGCATGACGGTGCAGGCTGATCACTGTCGGCAGTGGTTGACCTTTGACCCGTGTGAGCTGGTCGTCGTTTTGAGAGCATCGTCCACCAATCTCGCGCCCGATTGCGTCCATCTCTCGCGGCGCGACGACCATTCTTCCTGTTCTCCTATGAAGTTTCTTCGACTCGCTGAATCGTTCGGTGCGTGAGAGCGCTGTAATACTGCCGCAATGCCCTTATCTTTCCACAATACGCGCGAGTATGACCAAATTTGCTACGTACTAGTACTTATCTGTTTGGAAGTTTGAAGTCCCAGTTGTCTCTCCTGTATCACGGGCACATTGTGGAACTGAGTGGATACCCTTATCATTTCGTCTGAATCGTGTCGATCTCGTGCAGTCCTTGTCAGTGCTGAATTGTGACGCATAGGTGTCCATATTTATCAATTCAATGTGTTCGTGGTGGAACCCAATGAACTTAAAGAAGAACAACTCAATGGCCCTCAAAGTGTCTGCATTATCAATTCAACGATTCAGCCATTGAGCCTGTAGTGTGTAGTGGACAAGCCCGGGACTGCTCGTTGAACAAAACAACGGCATGTGACTCGCACATCTTCGAACTGCTCCGGAGGGTAGGCCGAAATCCCCCAAACTTTACGGCTAAACACGACGATGAACAGCTTTCAGGGATGGCCCTAGCTAGATGTTTGATGGAACATTTTAGTAACACCAATGGACTGTGAAATGGACAATAGGCCGGATGGATTGGGTGGTTCTGTGTACTCATCCGAATCCCCAACCTGACAATAACTCTATACTGGATAATGTAAGTGCACCGGCCACTGAATAATTGGAGGGAAAAGGTTGATATCATAAAGGACATGATTGGAAGTTTTAGGCATTATATATGTATGAACAAGGAACGGCCGCACTGATAACATTTAGTGCCAAAGAGAGCCCCACTGGAATATGTCATTTGGACATGTGATCAACGCACAATACTAATTCATAATCAATTTCAAAGTGCTACTTGCATGAAAAAGAGATTTGGTAGTAAGAGTATCCATAGAAAATAAAATAAAGTTCAGAGCTTCACGTGCAGTTGTTCAGGAAAATTGTAAGAAACTAATGAGATTACAAAGAAGGTACTCCCTCCGTCCGGTGAAGAGTGTACATCTAGAAATTTTCGAACAAATTATGGGCTTGAGTAAAAAATACATTGGAAAGGTGCAAGCCACCATCTCTCTCCTCTTTAGTTACCCAACCCCCAATGAGCTAAGTGCATGTAGAAATTAAAAAGACCATATGTAGATTGCTATTGGTCTTGATTACCGTGTGATGAGAGAGAAGTATTTTTTCCTACTTTAAAGTGCATTGGGAAGATAGAAGTACACTCTTTTGTGGATAAATTTTAAAGCTAGATGTACACTCTTCACCGGACGAAGGGAGTAGGAGTTACAAGAAAATGCATTTTTTAGCAAATAGCTGGGTTTATTGATCAAATAGGAATCTATGATTGACCAAGCATACAAAACTTGCACAAAGCAATAGAGCCTTTGATGAAACAAATACTCTAAAATCATCGGCACCCCATGCTCCGCCATCTGCATCTCATATTCCTTCAACTCTCATGTGAAGAGATTGTAATAAATTGATTCAATATTAAATGGAATGACTTTCTCAAGGGTTTTGATGATCCATATGAATCCCTTACCTCAAGAGATGCGAAACTAATTCTTCTAAAGGCATTATGCCATGGGACTCACCCTTTGCAAGGTATAGTTCTTTCATCGTTGGATTGCCAAGGAAGATGGCTGAAAGCACGAAAGGATGAGAGAACCACCGACCAACACAAACTCGACTCCACCATAAGATGGACACCGCAATCGAAGAGTAGATTGCAGCGTTGTAATAGAAATCCACCGGGTTGGGAGTGTTGATCCATGAGACCAAACACCACATAGTCCCGATATCAAACGCATCAGCCACATACCTAAACAAGAAAGCGGAACACTTTTATTATGGCGGTGCTGCTACCCAGCCAGGTTGTGTTTGGTTCAAGGGACGGGCTAGGCTGAATATGGGTATCCCCAACTAGCTGGGTAGCGATAGCCTTTTTTTGTTTGGTTGGGTGGGTAAGATTGGCCCTTAGGCCAACTCTAGCCGATCCCTTATCTGGCTATAGAGGAGTAAAATTTAGGTTTTGCTCCTCTATGTCGTACCTAGCCGAACTCCTAAAACCTATAAGGGAGGACAACTTTTACTTCCCCGCTGAAAATCCCCTCCAAGCCGCCTAAATATACTCAGCGTTTGCTCAGCCGAGTAAAAGTTGCCCACCTTTATCTCCCGCCCTCGTGACTCCGCCATTCCCGCTCCCATGTGCCGCCTCGCCACAGATGACCAGCCCAATCGCCGGAATGGATTGTCAAGACGCTTTTGCCACCCCACCGGCCACCGCCGCCGGCTTGTTGCCGCCGAAAACCACACCGTACCATCGTCCGCGTGGGAAAAAAGTTGGGGATGAAAAAGCTCCACCGGCCACAAGCACCGGCTCCAACCGCTGGCTCATTTGTTTTGTTGTCGTAGCGTGAAGATGAACACGACCGAATTTTTAGCGTCTTTGAAGTCCTCGGATACGATGGGCTAGATGGTCTCAGTTATGATTCAATTTGGGATCATTCGGAGGCGGCCGACGAAGAGGAGGTGGCCGATGGAGACTAAGTTGAGGAGGTGGCCAGAGCAAGTGGGAGGTCGTCAAGGTCACGAACTCACAACTACAATCAACTTGAGGATGTTGCTCTATGCTATGCTTGGATGAACATCTTCACGGATGCAACGATTGAAACGAATCAAACCAATGCTATGTTTTGGGAGAGAATTGCGAACTACTACAATAACTCTGTGAAGGTGACATCAATTTGAAACTCGTGATGATATATATGTTTGTTAACGGTTATGTTATGCATGTTTTAATTTGAATGTTTTATGGTATATATTGTAAAATGTTTGAAGTTCATGCAAGTAGGACACAAAACCTATGCAGTTTTTTTACCCCACTAAGTTTAGGGGATCGGCTAGGTGCACCTACAAACAGAAAAACATTTTGCCCGCAACGCGAGCATAGAGGTGGTTGGCGCCGTCCACCACTTCTTCGCAATTGGGGATAGCCTGATTTTTGTGGAATATTCGAAGCATCTGGCTGCCCCTGTCCCTCCTCGCCCTTGAACCAAAAGGGTGGCAGCCACTGTAAAAATGGCTATCCCTGTCCCGGGGAGGGATAGCCCTGCATCCAAGCAAATACACTCTTAAAGTAGTATTCACAATAAAGATGGATGTGTGTGCATCAATCCATAGAGGGGTCAATGAGTTTTCTCTTTTCGCAAACAGGAAGAAAGAAAGAAGAGCCAGCCATAATAGTTTATAAGAGAACATAAAACAACAATCTACAAACTGTTGCGTGATGTTTATTGTGCTGAAATACTGGTACACACTGCTACCATCTAGTGCCAACTACACTGGGCTCTCCAGTAACAATTCCGAGACATCAACAAAGAATATGCACATAAAAAAATACAACCACAAACATGAAAAGGGCAAACAACATAGTACACAAAACGCCCACATGCAATATCGCCGGGATGAACACATATAGCCACGAGAATCACACGTCGCTCTTGATGGCGGAGCTGTAGCCCGTACGGTCGTCATAGAACTTAGACCACAGCATGACACCACCGTACTTCGGAGAGCCCTTGATGAGCGGCAACACACGCGAGGTGAGCTCGCTGGCAGGGACGAACCCTGTGCCCGCCGCGTCCTTGGAGGCTGGAAGCCCCAGGAAGATCTTCCCCGCCGGCACCGACTCCCATTTCTTCCACGCGTCCATGAATGCCTTACGCCCCGCACTGAACTGACATTCCTCGTTGTTGTAAAACTGCACCCAAACAAAGTCGAATAGCCCTGTGTTGATCGCACCGCCGTCCCACTCGTCGGGGAACGGGCACTGCGGCGCCGCGCTCAGGAGCACCGTCTTGCTGCCGTTTTTGCCCAAATCCTTGAGGTCCCTGTGCACATGGCGCCAATATATATGAGCACGTAGACGTCAATACACGACTAGTTGGAACGGCGCGCGGGTGTGAACTAGTTACTCCAGCTTACCTGGCGAGGTTGTTCCAGAACTTGGCACTGCCAAGCTCGATATCGAAGTCGATGCCGTCAAGCGCGACGTTGCCGAGGGGACCGGACGACGACGCGCCACCGAGATAGTTGTTCCAAAGGTACATGGCAACCTGCCGGGCGTCGCCGGGGGACGAGAGGCCGTAGCTCCCGTCGCCACCGCCGATGGAGAGCAGGACTTTGACGCCGCGTCGCTGGCACGCTTTGATGTCCTTGCTCTGGCTTCTACAACCACCCGAAGAAGGGTCGCAGTGGCTGGCAAGGTTCAGCTCCGGCGTCTGGCCCTTGCCGAACTTGGGGAGGAAAGCGAGGATGATGAACTCGTAGTTTCCGGACGCGCACGTTTCGGCCAGCGACGCCTCGCCGTCGTTCTGGCCCCAGTACACGGCGATGCTGCCGGCGTGGCATGTGGCGAGGAGCGCCACCAAGAGGGTGGCGGTGAGCTGGAAGGGAGTGAGCGCTCGGCTTGCCATGGCTGGGTTCAAGCGTGCCTGAGCAACTTAGATGGTACAGAAAAGAGTGGAGACTGGTGAGGTAGCGAGGAGCTAGCTCTGTATCTTGAGTTGTGATGGCTATTGCGTATGGTGTCTGGGTTTTATAGTGGCCTTGATGGAGCGTCATGGATATTTTGTAGTGGCTTCCGTGCCGTCCCACGTCCGCTCCTGCCATGTCTGAATTTACCGAGGGTGCCCGCGGTTAGGTAAAGCTGATATGCAGAAATATTTGGTTGCGGCCGATATGTTTCGATGCTTATATTAATTTACTTGGAGTGTTCATCAAAGAGTAGTGAATGAGAGCGCGCCCAAGTCACAAACGCTCCACCGTACTCAACCGAAACTCAACAATGCGTGCGACAAAAACTGCGGCATCTCCTCTATTTTCTGTCCCAGCAACGTCCCAAACAGAGCGCATTCATATTCAAAGCCTTGTATAGACGGCACTTTAGTTTATGGACAACTCAAATCAACCTCAATGAGGCGAAGTGCTTAAGGCCATCTCCAACGCCGACCTTAAATCGGACACCGCATATGTCTGCGGATACGGACGAGAGAGCCAAACATCCAAAACTATCCACATATATTTAGTTATATTTCAGAAAATAATTATCAAAAGTGAACAAATTTAATACATATTTAAACAAAGCAGACGACCATGCGCACTGGAACACGGGAACCACTACAACGGAGCGAATTAAGATGATCACCAGCGCGGCGGCGCCGAGAGCAAAACAGGTATTAAGAGCAACTCCAACGGACCGACACAAACGGACGGTGTTTTTGTCCGTTCGGATCGGCCGCCCGCCCGCCGTTCGCCCTCTTTTAGTTTTGAATCGGCAGTGCGCCTAACAGGCCGATCTATTTTATAACCGTGTGCGTTTTAGATCATGCCAGCGGTCATGCCGTCGCCCTGGTTTTGGCGCTCCAGCGCGCGGGAAAGGTTCACGCGCGGGGGAAAGCGGCCTAGCGCGCGCTGGTTTTCGCGCTCCAGCGCGCGGGAAAGATTCGCGCGCCGCGGCCGGCGCTCGTTATAAGAAGGCCTCCCTCCACACTCTGCCCCGCTCATTGTCCGCCGTCCACTCGTCTCGCCTCTGCGCCACCATGTCGATCCGCCGGCTGGGCGCTTCGGATTTTCGCGGAGTCCGCGAGCGCCGCTCCGGCGCCTTCTTCTTCGAGATCTGGTTTCGTGAGAAACGTCTCATCCTCGGCATCTTCGACACCGCAGAGGAGGCGGCCCGCGCGCACGACGCGGCGGCGTGGCGCCTTCTGAGGCCTCGTCGGGATATGAATTTTTCCGACGTGTCGAGCCAGCGGGCGCATGATCTGGCGCCTCTCCCACGGCTTTTCACTGACGAGGATCGTCGTGTCCACCGGAGGCGGCGGCGTCGCCTCACCATCGCCGAGATGGACGTGGAAGCCATGGTGGTGTGGCGCGAATGCTTCCCGCAGGACATCGTCGACGAGCGCCAGTTTTACAAGCAAAGGTGGTTGGAGAGGGACGCGAGGAGGACGGAGCGAGCCGCCTATCGGGAGGACAAGCGTTCGCGGAAGCAGGCCGCTCAATTGAAATTGAAGCTACAGGAAAGGTCGGGTTGGGACTTTGAAGACGAGCAGCATGCTGACGCCTACATTCAGACGTCGGAGGACGACATTACCGAGTCGGAGTCAGAAAGCGACGAGTAGTAGTCTTTTTTTTTATCTGTGTACGGTAGAACTATCTATGTATCCATTTTATCGGAAAAAATAGCGGCCGCGTCAGCGACGAAGCAGGCGGGCGAGGGTGTGCTGTTTGATGGGGAGGGCCAAGCCAATGTGCCACCGACCAGCGGACCCGGTAAGGAAAGAGGACGAGCGCGCGCGTCCGTCTCGTGTCCGCGCCAATACAAATCCGGCTTAAAAATGGGTTGGGAATGAGTTGACAGGCGGATGAAAGCGCACGCGCGTCCGTTTGGGTCGGCGCGTTGGGCCGACTTTTTTATCCGTGTCGATTCAAACGGACGGCCGCGGACGAAATTGATCGTCCCATTGGTGTTGCTCTAAGACGATGATCGCCCTAATCACCTGGCAAATCTTGCTAAAGCGCGATACATGTGTGTTCAGAGCGAAGCAAGCAAACGCAAGGCACGTCGTGGAAGCTTGCCGAAGGGACATAGAACAGTGGAGGATGGCAGGCGCGACATGCATAGAGCACTCATTTGAGGATGTAACGTGAGAAGTCCCTTTATGAATCTGGTAGTCTGTAGCTGAGTCTTTTCGGACTACACGTACCCTTAACCCTCAATCACTTGATCAATTTTGTAACCTTGCTTCTGCTAAATCAACGGAAAACCAGCAACGCTGGGTACTTAAAAAGATATATGCATTTGAACTTGAGTAATTTTTACATGAAATCGGACGCTTTTCATTTAAACCGTAGCAAATTAATTACATTTCAATATATTTCAACTAGCCCGTGCGCTAAACCTAGTCTAAGTGACCGCCGGCGCCTGTTCTTGTGTCCCGCAGGCCATGAGCCTTGAGAAGTGAAGCTTTGCCTTTGCAAATTGCAAGCGGCTAATCGGCCCACGATGTTGAACCCGTCAAGCTTGACTTTAATGGGAAGGGGGGGGGGAGTGGTGGCCTTCCTAGGACCCAAGCGCCAACAACTCCCATGCTCTACTCTTCATCGCTGTCGATGGCGCCTGCGGATGTGTCGGCTTCGTGGTCGTGGCGGCGAGGCGCGACCGTGACAGAGCTGGCAACCTTGTCCTCATCATCGGTCTAGTCGTACACTTCATCTGCCGCCTCATCAATCTCCTTGAAGGCGTCTTCTAACTCCGCCTGATGGAGGCAGTACCGCCAGCGATCACGACAGATATCGCGGGCTGAGCGATAGGAGTCGAGCAGAACCTCTGCTCGGGCACGTCCATGTCAGGCGCGATGGTTGTGCCGGCGGTGAATTGCTCCTTTGCGCGCCAGTGCTCATCGCGGAGGTTGCGGTTGTACTTCTGATCGGCCTGCGCCTGCCAGAACGCGACTCGTCGCTCTTCCAACACCATCTCGGTGTAGTGAGCACGGGCCGCGCTGATGGTAATTCTGGCATTGGCCAGCGAGAACGGCGACGCCGACTCGTCGTCACCTACCTCTTCCATTGGGGCGTTCGCAATGTTGGCCTTCATCTGCCTGTCGACCTGCCAGCCGACTGGAATAGCGACAATCTCTTGCTTCTGCTAGGACAAGAGGTTGTCCTAGACGGCTTTGGAGCTCAAGGAGGCCATTTCACTTGTGTTGCCGAGAGGAGAAAGAGAGCATAGGAGGTTGGATGTCGCTATGGCTGGGCCTGGAGTTTAAATAGAAGGCGCATGGCAGGACAACCGGCGAGGTGGTTAATGGTGGGCGGCTGACGGACAGACGGGTGACGTTGGAGCATGTTCCTCGGCATACGCACATGTTTAATGTAGGTAAGCAGGCAGTTGGGCTATCGTTTGAACGTGAAGCAGTCGCATGCACCGGGAAGTGGCGCGGGCGGTGCTCTCGGCTCGTGTGCCGCTTCAGTGCCGGAGCGACGTGAGAGGTCGCATCCATTTTGAGCCGGCATGAATGCGGTAGCGGCGCTAATCGCTTCGGGCAGGAAAGGGCGCGTGCGAGAGAGAGTTTCTGGGTGGGCCAGGTTTGTCGGATGCTTGCGTGGCAACGGTTCGGATGCCCCACAAAGCACCCACCCCACTAGTTTGCTTCTGATTTGCGGGAAAATGACCGGACCGCTGAGCGGACCGATGTAGGATCGCGTTTGATGGCAAAACACGTTTGAACCATGCGGTGTGGACAGTTGTAGACGATTTGAGGGTTGGCGTTGGAGATGCCCTAGGAGCATCTAAGCGAATATGGGAAGGCCCGGGCATGCCTGGACGTGTCTGCCACGTCAGACTAATTGTAGGGACCCACACGAAAACCCACAGAAAACATGATCTAATAATTTAAGTCTTGATTAGTTTTCCTTTTTGATTGATTGAGTTCTTCAATTGCTGCATCGATGGGATCGACAACATTTGTTCTTCTTCTCTGTTATTTTTTTCTGTTCAACCCATTGTGCTAATGTGTAGAGAAAAAGTGCGTGATAACGTGTTTTAAGTAAAAATTGCAGAATGAGAGAGATGAATGTGTAAAGGATTCATTGGTCTTTCTTGGTGATAGTAATAGAGTAGTATTTATACCCAGACGTGAATACACATGTTGCTTAAGAGTTAAGAAAATACATGCCAATAAACTAGATTGACTAGCAACTAGGAACCTTAGTAGCCACCAAGAGAGCCAACCTTTCCGACGCCGTCTTCCGGTGGCTCCCCTCCGTCGGCGATCTTTTGGTCGTTGGTGGTGAGGGGGTCGCCGGATCCTGCGTGTGTGTATCGTTTTAGCTTTATGTTCTAGGCCCCTAGTATTTTAGATTTTTGGATCGTTTGACGTCTTGACTTCAATGATGGTGACGTCGATGCTGAATAAAGAAGCTCCATATTCTTCTCCGATGAGACGATCTTCTGTATGATCGGCAATGGATTTGGGAACCAGTCTGTTCAAGCCGGGATGTCGTGGTGGCGACGACATCCTTGTGGTGGACATGTGTCCTCGGGCTCCGTCGTTGCGGCGACGTCTGCTCCAACTTCGGTGCGAAGCTTGGGAGGTAGTCCAAGAGCGAATGTAGATTATGGTCTACATCGACGACATCTGAAAGAAGGAATGTATGCTGGGTTCATGGTTGATGGATGACTGATATGTCTCCAACGTATCTACTTTTCCTAACGTTTTTTCTCTTGTTTTGGACTCTAATTTGCATGATTTGAATGAAGCTAACCCCGGATTGATGTTGTTTTCAGCAGAACTACCATAATGTTGTTTTTGTGCAGAAATAAAAATTCTCGGAATAGAACGAAACTTTGCTAGGATTTTTATACAATAAACAAGAATTTCTGGAGCCAAGACCCACCGGAGGGGAACACCTG